ACCACCACCACCACCACCACCACCACCACCAGCACCAGCACCAGCACCAGCACCAGCACCAGCACCAGCACCAGCACCAGCACCAGCACCAGCACCAGCACCAGCACCAGCACCATCACCACCATCACCACCACCACCACCACCACCACCACCACCACCACAACCACGCACACACGCACGCACGCACGCGCACCACCACCCACTACGCACGCGCGCGCGCGGAGCCACAGGTCCGCTTCGACTCGCGTCCGCGGATAGAGAAAATCAGCGCCATGCTAAGGGATGGGAGGGAGGGGTAGGACGTCAGATATGACGCGAGCGCACCTAGCTTGTCCTGCCCCCTCCCCTCCTTCCACCTTCGAGGAGGGGTTTGCCCATCCTCCTGCCCCCTCCCCACGGACCCGGAGGGGAGGGGCCGCGAGGCGTTGGAGCGTCCAAGGTGGCCTCGGCGAGCAGGCCGAAATCATTGATTTTACCAACGCTCTGGCCACATGCTGGCCTTCTGGTGGGGGATCCTGCTGTACGACGGACCCTCCCTTGATCGAGCCTCTGCAAGGTGGCCCCCGATGCTCCCAAGAGTGCCCCAAGATGGCCCCAGGATGCCCGCCAACAGGCTCCCAAGAGATCCCCAAGAGGGCCCAAGAGGCCCCCCAGAGGCACGTGCTGGCCACGCGCTCGCCTCCCAGGGGTGGCCCTGATGTAGTACGGCCCCTCGTTTGATCGATCTCCTCCAAGGTTGCTCCAAGATGGGTCCCGAAGCTCCCAAGAGTGCCCCAAGATGGCCAAGAGGCTCCGGAGAGACCCCCAAGTAGCCCCAAGAGGCTCCCCTGGGGCCACGAAGAATTCATCTATACCTATACCCGTCTCGCCTTGGCAAAAGCCCGCAAGCTGAGCGCTCCGCAGAAGCCTCCAGCCGCGGAAATGCAATGCCGTCACCGCGCCCATCGTCACCCCGCTACCGCGGGCTGCAGTGGCGCCCCGAGGAACTCACGGATGAGAGCGATGTCGGAAACTTGCCAAGAGAAATCAGGTACGGGCAATGTTGCGTGTAAGCATTTTGCGAAACATGCACACAAGCATCTACACCTATACCTGTTTTCTCTTGGCTTCCACACCAGGGTGGGACACCTGCTGCGGCCACCTACGGCCAGTAGAGAAAAAGACAATCAACTCAAAAGGCTTGCGATGCGCACTCTTTCACATCGCCATTGCCCACGCGAAACGCGGCTGCCTCTGACGCAGATTTCACAGAAAACGGGTATAGGCATAGATGCAAGGTTCGTGAACCCATGACGCTTCAAGAGGCCCCCAGCCCGCCCAGAGGCCCCCACTACGCCCCAACAGGCCTGAAGCTATCGAGAGACATCCGAAGAGACTCCGAGAAGCATCCAAAAGGCCTCTGGCCTTCCTCCTCCTCCTCCTCCTACTCCTCCTCTTCCTCCTCCTCATCCGCCAAGTCCTCCTCCTCCTCCTCCCTCCTCCCTCCTCCCTTCTCCCCCCTCCCTCCCTCCTCCCCTTCTTCTTCTTCTCATCCTCCTTCTCTTCCTCCTCCGCCTCCTCCTCCTCGTCCTCCTCCTCTTATTTTGGTTCCTCCTCTATCCTCTCCTTCTTGCGGTACGACGGCTACCCAGCCTTTCCTCCACTGCGTGCTCCCCCACATGCCTGATCGAAGCAACTCGTCTGGACATCGTTTCTGGATGGGCCGACGGACGTACGCGAAGCGTCTATAATCTGTACAGGTGGCACATACGGTAAGAAATACTGCTAGGAGAGATCTACAGCCCTCGACAAAATGAATATCATCAGTTGTTGAGGCGCCCCTGCGATGTCACCCCCTTTCGCCCCATCAATGTCGCCCCTGTCAATATCGAAGCGGAGCAAAACACTGTCAGGGCGGGCGTGACTCGGAAGCTCTACGACGACCGACACTGGAGAGGAGTCGCCAACAAATACTCCGCGCGAAAACTCATAGCATCAAACATACGAGTAAATTGCGAAGCCAAGAGGCTCCCAAGAGGCCCCAGCATCCCTCCCCAGAGGCCACCTCGAGAGCCTCCCAAAGAGACCCCAGGAAGCATCCCTGAGGACCCTGGCCTATGTCAGCGTCGTCGTCGTCGCCGCCGCCGCCGCCGTTGTCGTCGTCCGGCGGGACCGGCCGTGTACGGCCTTCGCAACACGAGCGAGTTGCGGCGCGCACTTCTGAGGTTCAGTTTGTCGAGGGCAGCAGGGGCGCATGCGTGGTCGATTCCGACCTTCGCCCGGCGCCCCCCCAGGCTCCGCGGCCGCAGCGGGAGGTGAGAGACTAGAGTGGGGCACCCGCTGGCAGGCCGGTGCGTTGTTTGAGGTGCCTGCTGGGAACAAGGCAGAATGACCACACAGACGACACCACCCCACCTGCAGTGGGGCCGCTGGCAGAAGGAGCGCCAGACAAAGCAAGGAAGCCCCTGCTTGGCCCCACAAGCGCCTGCGTACCCGAGGGCCGCTAGAGAGACAGCCACGGAAGGATCTAAGGTTAGGTCGGGCATGTCCTCCTACAGGCGGATGTTGTAAGACAAATTGGAAATATTCTGAATATATGCAAGAATAATACAAAAATAATCGGCACATCGTCACCTGACTGATGTATCGATCATTTCTACATTTTCCTCCTGTATAGGGACACGCGCGACTTAAATAAAGGAACATGGAGCCCCTTCCGAACCCAAAATGCTCTGGTCCTTACTACAGCGTCTTGGCTTTAAGGCCCCACGGGCCTGAGTGTATACCATGAGCTCCAGCTTGGGTTTTTGTTTGCATGGTATTCGCTCCAGCCCCCGATGGGCCATAGCGCGACATGGAGGGCCGCATGTGGGGTGGTGTCGTTGGTCTTGATTGGTCGCTGCTGTGAACGCCAGTCTTCACGCCGTCGATGCAGCCCTGGACGCTCGCGCCCATCCCTGCGTCCCGCTCTTCCAGTTCTCCCGGTGGCGAGCCCGGGGGGGAAGTGAGGAGGCACGGACCTCCTCGGAAGACTCGGAAGCCCCCCTGGTCTTCTGACAATTTCTGTTGAGCCTTCCCCGAAGGCACAGCACACATCTCAGAAGGTCGGAGGGCTTTTGAAAGGTCCCGCCGCCTTCTGAGAGGTCGGCCCTCAGTCCTCCATCCTCCCTCCTCCTCCTCCTCCTCCTCGTCGTCGTCCTCCTCCCTCCCCCCCCTCCTCCTCCTCCTCCTCCTCCTCCTCCTCCTCCTCCTCCTCCTCCTCCTCCTCCTCCTCCTCCTCCTCCTCCTCCTCCTCCTCCTCCTCCTCCTCCTCCTCCTCCTCCTCCTCCTCCTCCTCTCCTCCTCCTCCTCCTCCTCCTCCTCCTCCTCCTCCTCCTCCTCCCCTCCTCCTCCTCCTCCTCCTCCTCCTCCTCCCTCCTCCTCCTCCTCCTCCTCCTCCTCCTCCTCCTCCTCCTCTCCTCCTCCTCCTCCTCCTCCTCCTCCTCCTCCTCCTCCTCCTCCTCCTCCTCCTCCTCCTCCTCCTCCTCCTCCTCCTCCTCCTCCTCGCTCGCCGCCGATTCTCGCGGGCCAGCGCCCAGTCCTGCAGCGCTCGATCCCGGCCCTCTCGACGGGGCTCATGTAGCGCAGGACCTTCGCGCCGAGGAGCGCGGTCTCGCCGCACAGGTCGACGACGTTGGTGTTGGCTCCTGGGCGGGTCGCTGTCCAGAATGCCATGTCCTAGCAACGCAACACTGGTGCCTCCTCCTCCTGCTCCTCCTGCTCCTTCTCCTCCTCGTCGTCCCCTCTTGTTTCATTCTTCTTCCTCATGAATAACTTCTCCCTGTCGCACCCCGAGGCCAGTTTTTAGGGCGGGCAGGGCGTTCCGCCTGAGACTTCCTCACCACTTATCATGCTGAAGTTTAAACATCTGCAACGGTTTCACAGATGGGGGTGGGTCGTTTTCAAAATGTGGCTCTCGCCTTAGCGCCGCGCACATTCGTTTTAAACTTGGCAAATGCTTCACAGATTGAACGCGGGTCGTTCTCAAAGTGTGGCTCTCGCCTTATCGCCGCGCATATTCGCTTTAAACAGTTGCAAACGCTTCACGGATTGAGGGCGGGTGGCTTTCAAAATGTTGCTCTCGCCCTAGCACCGCATACATTCGTATTAAACATTACCGGGGCTTCACGGATTGAGGGCGGTTCCTTTTCAAAATGTAGCTTTCGCCTTAGCGCCGCAAACATTCGTCTTTCAAGTTCACAAATGTTTCACGGATTCCCATGAACAATGTACCAGAAATTGCGTTTTGGAAGGATTCAGGATTATGGGGGCGCCACAATTACGTTGACTCGCGGCTTGAAGTCCCAGGAATGGCGTTCTGACAAGATTCAGGATCGTCAAGACGCAACAGTTCGGTTGATCCGTGGCGTTGGAATGCCGAGAACAGTGAACAATGTTTTGGCATGCTTCAGGGTCTTCAAACGGTTGTCTTCTAACGAGGCAAGCCCCTCACTGGAAATGAACCGTTGCAGGGGCATTATGAAGAGGGGGCTTGGAGGGAGGGTGTATTCCAACATCATTGATGGCCCTTGGGCTTAAACTGGTCCTCCTCCTCCTCCTCCTCGTCACGCTCTTCTCCTTGTTGACCCTTTCTGGCGTCCTCCATGCACGGCTCGCCGTGTCCGTGCTTCACTGACGCGGGGGCACGCCATCAACCAGCGCACCATCCACGAAACAGAGGGGGCCTGCATCCTCCTCGGTCACTGCCGCTGCCGCCACTGTCTTGCTGTGAGCCCCCGCTGGCCGCAGCAGCTGGACCTCGACGGGCGCGCCCTCCGCGAACGGACGGCCCTGCGGCGCAGCCTGTCCCTCTCCGCTGTTCTGCCCCAGCCCCTCACGTGCTGCGTTCTCGCCTTGACGGGAGTCCTGCGGTCTCCGTCCTTCATCCCCGCCTCCTTCGCATCTCCTTCGGGGCACTCGCTGGAGCGCCCCATGGGGCCACGGAGCGCGCCAGGGGTGCGCCTAAACGGGCACGGCAACGTGCGAACGCTGCCGCTGGGGCATTCGGTGGGGCTCCATCTGGGGCCACGAAAAGCGTCAGGGGTGTGCCGAGCTGAGCGCGGCAGCATGCGACCGCTGCCGCTGGGGTCTTCGGTGGAGCTCCCTACGAGGCCACGACGTGTGCGACCGAAATGGGCTGCGCGGTGGTGTGCGACCGCTGCCGCTGGGGCCCTCGGTGGAGCCCCCCCTTCTGGGGCAAGGAAGCGTGCGGGACACGCGGAAGGCAGCTGCAACGAGGGGAGGACGGTGCGGAGAGCAGAGGGCGAGGCGGAGGAGGAGGACGAGGAGGAGAAGGAGGACGAGGAGGAGGAGAAGGCGCAGCATGAGGAGGAGGGGCTGGAGTACGAGTGAGGACTTGGGGCGCTGCGAATTCAAAACGAGGGCCCGATTCACAGGAGGGTTGGGATATACTTGAATCCCCCTCTGACCAAAACAGTTCCCCTGGCGAAGTACCCAACTGCGTGCAGTTGTGAATACCGTCGTTGTGAGTATCGCCGTCGGCGGCACGCGAGCCCTGGCATTTGGGCCAAGGCTGGAGCTCCCCATGGGACCACCAAACGCGTGGGAGGTGTGCCGAACTGTAGCACCGACGCCATGGGAACCCTGGCGCTTGGGCATATGAAGCCCCCTACGGGGCAGCGAAGCGTGAGAGGGCTCCAAGACGCCGCCCCCTAGGTCTCCAAGAGGGCCCCCAGGAAGCCCCCGCGAACAGACGCGGAGGAATCGGAGGCCGCAGCAGCGACAAGCGCACGCAAGCGGCGCGATGGGGCACGGCACGCAACACACACACGGCATCGGAAGCCACACGTCCTCGTCTGGAGGTCGGCTGGCTGGCGCACGTCTCTTGAACACATAAGGCGGAGGTTTTAGATACGGATGCATTCGATATGCGCGGCAGGAGCGAAACGATTGGCGGTGCAACACGCGTGGCGGGACTGAGACGCGGCGCCCTTCGCGCGCTGGACATGTTTTCGCCGACGATGCAACATGAGAGGCCGGAGCGGGGCGCGGCGTACATCGCGCGCGGTCTTGTTTCCCGTCGACGTTGTTCAACACGCGGCAGGAATGGGACGCAGCTCGTGTCGCGCGCTGAACGTCTAGCCGCCCACGATGCAAGACGAGCGACAGGCGTCGGACGCGACGCACTTGCTTTTTATGTTGTGGGAGGGCGGGTGAGTGGACGGAGCCCTCTGGCTCGTTCGAGCTGGCTAACTTGACACACACATACACACCCCACCCACCCACCCACCCACCCACCCACCCACCCACCCACCCACCCACCCCCACCCCCACTCCCCCCCCCCCCCCCCCACACACACACACACACACACAACACACACACACACACACACACACACACACAACACACACACACACACACACACACACACACACTCTCACACACACGCGCACACGCACACGCACACGCACACGCACACACACACACACGCGCGCACACACACATACACACACACACACACACACACGTACGCTGACGCACCCGACACAGGCAAACAGGCAGGCAGGCAGAAGGGAGACAGGCAAGCTAGATGCATATATCAGCAGGAAACAAAAACGGAGAGGTGGTTACTTAGTAGCCACTCTGCAAGCTCCAGGCCCCGAGCGGACTGGGGACTGAAGAGCAGGGATGAGAGAAGCGGAGACGAGGTCCCCGCAGAGACCCCGAACACGGCCACCGCCAGACAAGCAGCGCCCTGCCGTGCAGCCCCACGAGCTCCAGAAGGGAGCCCGTGGGTCCGCAGCTATGACTACCTACCAAACCACCCCAACCCAACCCGAAGACCCGAATCTGAACCGAATTTCGGGTTGGGGGGGGGTACGGGTTCCATGAGTTTTTTCGATGTTCCCCGACCCCCTCCCCACTGGAAATGGAGGGCAAACTGAGGCCTTCGGGTTGGGTTGGGGTGGTTTGGTGGGTGGTGAAGCTGGGGCGGCCAGAGTCGGCCCCCAAAGCGGCACGGCACAGCGGCACCGCACGGCACCAGAAGACCAGCGTTTTCCGAGCCGACCAGCGGCGCAGCGCGGGCGCAAACGGCCCAGAAGAGACCCCGCAGAGGCCCTTCAACAAAAAACGAGAGAGTGAAGAGACAAAAAAGAGAGAGAGAGAGAGAGAGACCAAAACAACATAGAACGCAAAACAGATACGAAAGAAACACAGCACAGGGAGAGATCCGAACCTGGTGATTTTGCCACGCGCCTCTCTGTCACACAAAGCCGACGAAATCACCGAACTAGGGCGGAGCGGTCGGAAAACCTGGCCCGCGAGGGCCCCAGCGGCCGCGTAGAAAACGACCGTGGGACGCCCGCGCACACACACACATACACATACACACACACACACACACACACACACGCACACACACACACACACGCACACACACGGTGCACCCGACGCAGACAAACAGGCAGGCAGGCAAAATGGAGATAGGCAGACTGGACTGACAGACAAACAGGAGGAGAGAGGGATAGAGAGAGAGAGAGCGAGAAAGAGAAAGAGAGAGAGCGAGAGAGAGATGGAGACCAACCCGAAAAAAGGTGAGGGACAAAGAAAAATAAAGGAGAGACCCAAATTTGGTGATTTCCCCACACGGGCCCCCCCCCCGCCGCCACGCAAAGCCCACGAGATCACCGAACTAGGGCGGAGCGGTCGGAAAACCTGGCCCGCGGGGCCCCGGCGGCCCCAGGCCGCAACACGAACGTGGCACCCAAGGTCCCCTAAGTGGCGCCTTTTCTCTGTGGACATGCCAGGTCCCGCCTGAGTTTCCCAGGGGGGTCTTCGGAGCGGTGCAGAAGTTCTCCGAGGGCCTCGCGAAGGTCCCAGGAGGCTCCCAGGCTGCCCCCGGCAGTTTTCTCCCCCTCTGCTCCTGCGTTCCCTGCTCCTGCTGCTCCTGCTCCTCCTCCCGCTGCTTCTCCCATCCTCCTCCTCCTCGTCGTCCCCCCCAGCTTCTTCCCAAAAAACCCTGCGCCATTACAACGCACCGCGCTTCCATGGAGAACCCCACCCGAGCCGAACACCAAGCACTCGAAGAACCCTCCAAAACATCACTCCAGCAGGGGAAATCCCACCCAGCACGCTTCCCATGGAGCTACCCCAACACACCGTTCCGTGTCCGTTTCCAGTGCTCGGCCTTTCCATTTCCAGGGTTCGGCCTTTCCGTCAGCCTTTTCCAGGGTTGGGGAACAGCCTTTCCAGGGTTGGCGGGTGCTCAGGTTTCCAGGGTTTGGACCTCGTTTGCCGGGTTGGGAATTTAACCCTTCCACTCCTGCCCCTCCTTCCTCCATTTTCGGCGCAGGGCGAGTTGAGACAACGGCAGCTCAAAATCGGTCCCCAGACCTCTCCTGGGGCCCAACCGCACCAGATTCCCGAGCTGCGTCCAGTCGTAGCGACGAGTGCCCCTCACAAAATGTCGCTGCACAAGAAAATCGCAGCGTTGCCTGGAGACGAACCTCTTAGACTTTTAATTTGCCAGCCTGGCACCGACCTGCCCAGAAGATGGACGCACCGGCGACGCAGAGGAAGGCCTAAACAGCAGTGGGCCCCCTGCGTGTATAGTCTTCTGCCATCGAATTCGCTTTAAGTGTGGCGTTTCTGTTTTCCCTCCCCTCTCCCTCCCTTTTTCCCCCTCGCTGTCCACCCCCCCCCCTCCTTCCCCCCCCCGCGTGCCGCCGATACGTTTGCAGGGGAATTCGTATCATTATCATTGCCCGCATTTCTCTGCCCCGTCCGAGCCCAGGGCTATTATTGATGTTTTCTGGTCACACGCACTACTTTTGATATTGCCAATGCGCCGTCTGTGCGCCAGGCTTGACTAACTGACTGACTGACTGACTGACAGACTGACTGACTGTTGTTTCAACCTGGCCCCATCTGATGACATCCGCCCCCCTCCTCCTCCTCCTCCTCCTCCTCCTCCTCCTCCTCCTCCTCCTCCTCCTCCTCCTCCTCGTCCTTCCATCCCTCCTCCCGTGCGCCAGGCGTCCGTGGGCCAGGAGGATCTCCACGATGCGGTCGTGCCCCCGGGCGGCGGCCAGCGCGAGGGCGGTCTCGCGCGCGTCGTTGCTCGAGTCCACGTCCGCGCGCAGCAAGAGCAGCTCCTCGCCGCGGGCAAACGGCACGATCCCCCCCCGTCGGAGAGTTAGGAGGAGGAGGAGGAGGAGGAGGAGGAGGAGGAGGAGGAGAAAAGGAAAAGGAGGGAGGAGGAGGCGGGAGGAGGAGGACGAACAGGAGGAGGAGGAGGAGGGAGGAGGAGAGGAGGTGGAGGAGAACGAAGAGGAGGAGAACGAGAAACAATAGCGGGAGGGGAGCGGGGAGTTGTTTTTCATCTGCGATCCCCATGGGGTCAAACTCGCAGCCTCTGCTGCGGCCTCCTTGGTCTGAGCCTCCTCGTCCTCGTCGGCCTCGTCGTCCGGGCGCTTGGCCGCGCGCGGCCCCCGGTCCGGAAGGCCGTCAGATCACAACCCGGGGAGGCGCAGGGGGGGGCGCGGAAAGCAACCCGCCTGGCCCCCCGCCTGATACTTGACGCACCCCGGGAGGGAAAGCGGGGGAGACGGAAGGGCATGGGGGAGGGGGGGGGGGGGGAGGGGGGGAGGGGAGGGGGGGAGGAAGAGGAAAGAGGACGAAGGGAGAGGAGGGGCGGGGGCGACAGCATCGGGGCAGGGGGCCTGACAGGAGGAGAGACCTCAGGCCCACAACCCCGACTCTGGCATCGCTCTGCGACACCATCATGGAAGTACACAAAAACAACACAAAGCGGCCCCAAGAAGGTAGCCGTGCCAGCGGTGGCGCAGAGCGCCTACGTGGTGCATTCAGACAAACCGACCCCTCTGGAACCACCCGAGCCGATGACCCAGAAGCCCACAGACAACTTCCGGCGTCGCCCGGCGAAAACAGACGCCCGCGCCTCACCTAACTACCCCAAGTCTTCCACGCACGACGAGACGCCCCAAAAGCACGAGCCCAAACCCAGAAAGCACGGCCCCAGCTGCGAGGGACCCCGGGGGCGGCGACCATTCGGGGGAACCCGGTGGCCTGGCAGATGTGGAGGGCCGAACCCACCACGAAGCTCAACGAAACGTGTGAGGGGTGTGCCGAAGTGGGCGTGGGGGCGGCATGCGGGCGCAGCCACTGAGAGCTTCGGTGGAGCTCCCTATGGGGCCACGAAACTGACCCTCGCTGTCTGCATTCTCCTGGCGGGAGGGGGCGCGTGCAACCTGGCCACGGGGGGGACGCATGCAACCTGCGCCACTGCTCCCTATGGGGCCACGAAGCGCTGTCCTGGATAGGGGGGGGCGCATGCAACCTGCGCCACTGGGACCTTCGGTGGAGCTCCCCATGGGCCACGACGCGCTGTCCTGGGCGGGGGGGACGCATGCAACCTGCGCCGTTGGAACCCTCGTGATGGCATGGATGGGGGAGGAGGGAGGGGGCAGCGGGAGGAGAAGGAGACGCGGGGCACCGTCTCTTCAAAACGAGGACCCAACACCACAGGATGGTTGGGAACAAGACAGTCCCAGCCAGATGCGTTCTAAGAACATTTCGTGGAAACCACAAAAAGGTTCTTGGAACATTGCTTGGCAGGGCTATAGGCACACCGGGACGCTTCGCCGCTGCTTGAAGCAAGGCGCAGGAAAGCGGCGGGCGGTCTTCGCGTGCCCCCCCCCCCGAAGAGTTAACTCAGCACGCCGCGCCGAGCATCTTTTTTTTTCTGACGGGGGGGTAGAAGAGCAAAGCCCTCGGAACCTCGAGCAACTCGCGATCGCTGAGCCCTGCATATGTCCTCCTTCTCCCCCTCCTCCCCTTTTTCGCTCTCCTCCTTAAAGTCCTCCGCAGCCACCACTGTCGTCGTCGTCGTCGTCGTTCTCCTAGCGCAAACTGACCGCTGGCAATGCTCCAGCCGCCGGGGCATGCCCAATCCGACTTTTAGTATCCCAAGCCTGTGGTGGGTCCCCTGGAGCACAGGGCGTCGGTGTTCATGTCCTTGCACGCCTCTTCTTTTTCCCGAAATGCCCCGCCAGTGCCTCTCCTCTGCGCTGGCGCCAAGTCCGCCCCAAGAGGGAGAGCGCTGCTGGTGACCTGGCCAATCATGCTGCCGAGAAGTTCCGCCGTCTTCTTCGCCAGAGTGGAGCTGCTGGCGAACGCGCTGGCGTTGTCAGGGTGCACGGCCACCTTGAGCTCATCCTTAAAACGAGGATGAGAGTAATTCGCCACAGCTCCCGCGACAGGATGGATGACCTGCCGCTCGGCGGCGATGCCACCGTCGTCAGCAAGGGGCGACAGCCGCAGATCATGAGTTTCCTGAACAACCGAAGGCACCAATGCTCGAAACACTGGCGAACACATCGCTGAACAGATCCCCCGAAGGTGGGCCCGAGGCCGCGGAGTAGGAGGGGTGCGCGCTGCGTCCCAAAACGGGGCAAACATGGGCCACGCCAGGAATGATATGCGGTCTTAACACTTGCTCCGTTGACGCCGAGATCCAGGGCTCGATGGCGGAAGAAGCCTATGTCGAAAGATTCCAGAACATCCAGTGCCATCCCAAAGCATGCCTCCCGTGACCTCATCGTGGCGGCGAGCCGCCTCCGATGCTCGCGCGCGCAGCGGCCACATAGTTTGGCACCGCCGACGCGACCGCGGTGGCGCCGACCGCTGGGCACTTCCCAGCGGGCATTTCAGTGCGAGTCAACGGCTCGGGCGGGCGCGGTATCATGGCAACGCCAGCAATGGTTGACGCGATGATGATGATGGTAGTCATGCTGGCGACGATGATGACAACAACGGCGGCAAGGCCAATGACGTCGTCGATGCTGATCACGCCGACGACGATGACTGCGCCCTCGCGTCGGTGATGTCGATTTTGGAGAGAGTTCGACTCGGCCCTGCTCGATGTCATGCTCGTTGCCGTCGTTGCGATCGCTCCCGAAGCCAGCGACCGTCTGCACCTCCTCGAAGCCGTACTTGTCGCCTCCGTCGCGCTCGGAGTCCGGTCCGAGCGTCATGCCCAGCAGCCCGCCGAAGTCGACGCCCTCGCTGCCATCTGGCACGACCGCGCCGAAGAGGCCGAGAAAGACGAAGACTGGCGCCTCCGCCCGCAACACGCCTCCGGTCACAGCGCGCCGTTCCAGCCGGGATCCCCGCTGCGCACGGCGAGGCTCGGCCGCGCCCGCCGCCACGACGTCCGCGCCCTGCGCCTCGGCATGGAAGGCGACGTTGCTCCGCAGGCGCTCGAGCCAGGAGGGGGCCCACCCTCCCAGCAAGGCCTGCAGCGCAGGCAGCATCGCCTGCAGCCTCTGTGCAACCTCGGCGTCGCCGATGGCGGCGCCCAGGGCCTGCTCCGCGGCCTCCTGCCGAGCCCGGGCCCTCGTCAGCTCGCCCGAGGGCCACTGCACGGCGTCGTCGGCGAACCACGTCGCCCACTGTCGTCCCGCAGCCGCCGAACGCCTTGGCGCGCCATCCGCGCCATCCTGCTCATTGGATCAGAAATTGGAAGCAGGTGAGCCCCAATCGCGGAGTCGCCCTCACCAGATAAGGAACCATCCAGCGTCTGAAGCCCCGTGTGCACATTCCTGAACGAACGCCCCCACCGCAGGCGTCCGCCTAGTGAACGACTTTCTTACAAGAGAGGGCACGTTAGGCCTTTTCTGCAGATTGATCAGGCTCAGCACCTCATCGCGCTATCTGGTGAGTCAAGGATCACCAGGACACGCACGATGCTGGTATCAGTGATGACGAGAGGCTGCTCAGGATCTGCAGCAAGTTTGCAGGCAGAGCTGCGCAGCCTGGTGCTGGAACTCATCCCCAAGTTTCGCACCAGGAAATAGATGCTGATGCCAGGCGTGTTCGGATTTCCACGTTTGCTTGCAACTTGTCGTCGCCCCCTGCCCTGTGCGAGAGGGTGGAGGCGGCCGCTGCGGGGGGCAGAGCCCCGTGTGGTGTTGCCCCCCCCCCCGCGCCCCCCCCCCCACCATCCCCCACACAAACACACACACACAGACACACAGACACACAGACACACAGACACACAGACACAGATACACACAGACACACAGACACACAGACACACAGACACACAGACCTACAGACACACACACAGACACACAGACACACAGACATACAGACACACACACAGACACACAGACAGACAGACAGACAGACAGACAGACAGACAGACACACAGACAGGCAGGCAGGCAGGCAGATAGACAGACAGACACACAGACACACAGGCACACAGACACACAGACACACAGACACACACACACACACAACACACACAACACAACACAACACACACACACACAGACACACGATACACCTACACACACCACACACACAACACACACACACGCACACGCACACGCACACGCACACGCACACGCACACGCACACGCACACGCACACGCACACGCACACGCACACACACACACACACACACACCCACGCACCCACGCACCCACACACACACACACACACACACACGCACACGCACACGCACACGCACACGCACACGCACACGCACACGCACACGCACACAACAGCAGCAGCAACAACAACAGCAACAGCAGCAGTGGCAACGCGATGCCTGGCGCTGCTTTTTGGGCAGAGTAGGGTCTCGATCCGCGGCCATCCTTGCGCGGCCATCCCTGCCTGCTGGAACTTCACTGGGCCGATTCTCCTTGACCTGGATGCGGCTGGCTCTAATACACATAATATGATGAGTTCCCCCTGCTAGGATGGGGCAAGCCTGCACTGCACCTCTGTATGCTGCGCGGCCGGTGTATGCACCATGTTGTGTTCTGTGGATCTGGCGCGAGCGGTGGGTGCTCCAAGGCGAGGGCGGGGGCACGCAAACGCCAACTGCACCACCACTTTATGCGGGCTTGGCCTCCTCGCAGCGTGTTCCCGAAGGTCGCGATCTTCCCAAGACGCTCGCGACCTCCACGGGCCCAGGCTTCGAGGGTCAGAGTGTTTCTGACAGATAGCGCTCCCCCTCCTCCTCCTCCTCCTCCTCCTCCTCCTCCTCCGCCTCCTCCTCCTCCTGCTCCTCCTCCCCCCCCCCCCCCCTCCTCCTCCTCCTCCTCCCCTCCTTCTCCTCCTCCTCCTCCTCCTCCCTCCTCCTCCTCCTCCTCCTCCTCCTCCTCCTCTCCTCCTCCTCCTCCTCCTCTCCTCCTCCTCCTTCCTCCTGCTCCTCCTCCTCCTCCTCCCCTCCTCCTCCTCCTCGATATCTAGGCCGATCGGAGTGGTGTGCAATCCCAAGAACTCGGCTCGTTGCGCGCCTGGGGCGGAACGCCAGGCGTCCGCTCGTGCCTGCTGTTCGCTCGCGGTCATCGGTCTCTGGACAAAAGGGGGGAGGGTACCTCTGCCTCATTGCGGACCCCAGCGGGCATCGCCCCCAAGGCTGGTCGGGCTGAAGGCGCAATGCTGCCCCCCAGGGCCCCAGGGAGGTCTTGCCAAACCCCCTCTGGTATCGTCGGCAGCTGCCCGTCGATGCCAAAACAAATCGCCCTTATCCTCCCTCCTCCTCCTCCTCCTCCTCCTCCTCCTCCTCCTCCTCCTCCTCCTCCTCCTCCTCCTCCTCCTCCTCCCCTTTCCTCCCCTTCTCCTCGCCCCCATGGTCCTCCTCTTCTCCTCCTCCTTCCCCCTGTCTCCTCCCGCCTACCTACCCCCCTCTTCCACTTCCCCGCCATCCTCCCCCCTCCCTCCTGTACCTTCTCACTTCCCCTTCTCCTCCTGCCATGCTTCCTCTTCACCCCTCTGGACGCCCTCAGAACATCGCTGCCACTCTGGCGCGGGGGGGGGGGGCTCGGGCAGGCCATCACAGTACTCTTAAGCCTGAGTTGCTCTGAAATCCGCGGTGGATACTGGTGATCGGGGTACACTCCAGAAGCTGGGGCTTCAGGGGTCGTGGGTACAAGGCGTCCTCCTTTTCCTCCTCCTGCTGCTCCTGCTCCTCCTTCTCCATCCCCCATTCTGTGGCTGTCCAGTGCACTGCGCGACAGACTCCAAGCAATGCCGTATCCTTCTCCATCCTCGTTTTTTCCGCCTCCTTCGTCCCTCGTCTATCAAAAGGGTTCCTCCCTCATCCTAACTCGGGCTCCTCCTCCTCGTCCTCCTCGTGTCCTTCATCCTCCCTCCCCCATTCCTCCATCCTGGAGTAAGCGGTCAGAGAGCACATCGCATTTTTCACCTCCTGCCTCTGGCAGATCAAGGAGCACCTCGACCCCCACGCCGCATTTCCATATACGACCTCAGACCCGAAATCAACAGCCGCACGCTGGTGATACATGTTTGGCCACGGCAGGCCGTGGGGGTGGGGGGAGGAGGAGGAGGAGGAGGAGGAGGAGGAGGAGGAGGAGGAGGAGGAGGAGGAGGAGGAGGAGGAGGAGGAGGAGGAGGAGGACACGTTTCGTGCGGTGCAAGCCTGTGCCCAATCGGCGCTCGCAGCGCCCGACTGTGGCCGAAGGTGCGCACATGAGGGGCGCGTTTCGGCAACCAGCCTCCTCCTCCGCCTCCGTCCGCCTCCCTCCTTCTTCCTCCTCCTTCCTCCCCCCCTCCTCGCCCTCGCGCGCCCGCTGCCCGATCTCATCACGCAGAGCGCGCGCTTGCCACGATCGAGCCATACTGCTTGTGACCCCAGGGACATGGGAAGCGAAATCTGGTCCTACCCCACCCTTTCGGTGGCAACTCATGAGAGCATCCCGTAGCACATTGTCGGCTCTCGCGAATCAGCGCTAATCGACGCTAGTCGACGCTAAATCGGCGCTAATCGACGCTAACAGACGCTGTATCGGCGCTATCTCAACGACTTCCAGACGCTCATCGACGCTAAAGACCAACTTGCGAAGGCACACGAAGCTCCCTTGACTTGCAATCGAACCCCTTCTCTCTATGCACATACACCGATTCTGGCCAGGCCCATCCTGAGCCCAGGATCGGCGCATGCGCCCTCCTACATTGGCCAGGCAGGCCTATGCACCGATCCTGGGTCAAGGATGGGCCTTGCCAGGATCGGTGCATGTGCATAGTTCTCTTCGCCCGATCCTCCCCGCCCCCCTTCGCGAGAAGCTCTGATTTCGGGTCTGCTTTTGCCGACGACTGGGCTGCTCATGCTTGCTCCTGCCCGACAAATGCATCGCCTTCTCCCCCGTCGCCCCAGGAACACAGATCGCGTTCGCTGCCCCTCAGCGAGCTTCAATGCATAGTTCTCTTCGCAGATTACAGATTACAGAAGCGACAGTGGTCCACCGTGCAAGCACACTGGCCACTAAAGAAAAGAAAAAAGAGAGGGACATCCACCTTGGATCATCCTGCTGCTACCGCTGCTGCTGCCTCCGATCCTCCCCGCCCCCCTCCCTCTCAGCCCCTCCCTCCCTCGCTGCTGCACTTCCGCGGCCACCCACGCAGGCCGGAGGCCAGGCTCGTCCTCCACGATGCCCGGCTGCACCTCCCGGGCGCCAAGGGGGCAGGGAGGCCCGCGGCACTAGCCTTAAGTCGGGCCTGTCCCCCTACAGGGGGATTTTCGAGAAAAAAAATACCCCCAAAAATAATCCAAAATGGTGAAAAATACAAAAAATAGTCCCCGGACTATTTTTTAAACTATTTTTGAATAATCCCCCTGCAGAGGGACAGGCCCGACTTAACACTAGCCCACCCCACGGGAGGCTGAGCGCAAGGGTGGCCGGCGCGTTGCTAGAGACCTCCCAACCTTCCCCCTCACGGCGGCGCAGCACTGCAACAGCGAGCAGCCATCGGGGGGAACCGATGCGCGAACTGGCCGGCGTGCAGGAGGGGGAACAAGGCAGACAGGGCGGCCGCGAAGGGCAGGAGGAGGCGGAGGGCACTTAGAAGCGGGAAAATTCCAAGCTGAGTGCGCCGGCGCGGCGGGCAGCGGCAGCGGGGGCCGTGGCAGCAGCCGTGCGGCGGCGTCGGTGCACCCACGGGCGCCATGTTCCTCCACGCATCCCAAGTGGGCTTCTCGTCTCCCCTGGAACACACCCACGCAGGACCCGCTTTCACCCTCTCGCCTCGTCTCCCGGCTCTGGTGCCCGTCACTACTATCACACTCACGCCGTCGCAACATCATCATGACCACCTGCATCATCACCATCTCGCCTACACTCTCCCACACATCCCCCTCACCATCACGACCACCAAAATCGTCGTCACATTCACGTACAAACACTCTCAAATAATCAACATAATCATCATTGCCCTTATCATCATAACCGCCCACCGCCCATCCCTAAGCCTCATCAGTCGTACACAGACGCGCTCACATCATCATCATCATCATCATCATCATCATCATCATCATCATCATCATCATCATCATCATCATCATCATCACACATCATGATCACAAGCAGTAGCCCTCATAACCATCATCAGCAATACTCCCGCGCACACTCACACGCTCACGCACTCTCACACACGTACACCCGTATTGGCAAGGCTCGAGCGGGACACTCGTCTGCGAGCCAGTTGCAAGGAAGTCTCAGGCTTGAGCCAACTCCCTAAGCGGCCATAAGAATATAGTTATATACAGACATGCCTGCGTTATCAGCGAATCGCCATAACTTCACTACCAAAACTGGTTCCGAGTGTCCAGAATCAACAGCAAACGACTTGGTGATGTTCCAACTCCCCGAGCTCAGCTCCGACGCCTCATTCTGTATGTCTGAAACCAACTTTAAGCTATTTTGGTTTTTTATCTGTCCAAAAGCCCCACTCAAGAGGCTGAGCTTGCACGTGTGCAGCCAAGGGTAAGCCACTTCGGTACGTTCGTGCTCCCAGAATTCTGCTCCCGGGGATGATCTGTCAATATCCAAAGCCAATTGTAGGCCTCATCGGCCTCCTCGTCCTCCGCCCATCCATGTGGTCGTACTGGGGAAATGTCAAGCGGGAGCGGCGTGCCCGGTCAAAGCACAGGACGCGTGTCACAGGACACCTTGCATGCTGAGGGGATCTCCGGTGGGAGTCTCTTTCATGAGCACATCCTTTGGATGCCCCGAACGGCGGCCTCGTCGGTGACTGAATTTTGAGAAAATCTCGAGCGGGGGCCTCGGAGTGCCTCAGAAGGCTACAAGATGTCCCGCGAGGCCTCGGGAAACCAGGGGAAGCTGCAGGAGGCCCCCGGGCCACCAGGAAACCCCAGGAGGCCCCAGGAAGCCACCGGACAACGCGCCGGGATGCCCTGGAAAAAATCCGGGCAACCCTGGGAGGATGCAAGAGCCAGCAGGAAACCCTGAGGGGGCAGGAGGCCCCAGGAGGAGGGAGAGGACCTAGGAGGCAACGGGGGAGGAGGCGGACGAATCCGGATGAGGCTGGAGGAGGAGGAAAGAGAGGAGGCCGGATGGTGATGATAATGATGATGATGATGATGATGATGCTGATGATGATGATGATGATGATGATGTTGAATCTGATGGTGTTGATGATGGTGCTGATGCTGATGATGTTGATAATGATGATGGTGATGATGATGTTGATGATGACGTATCTGATGGAAAAGATGATGTTAATTCTGAAGGTCATGATGTTGATGCTGACGGTGCGAATGATGAGGACGATGATGAGGATAATGACGCATGGTGTCACTGGTGCCAACGATGATAATTGTGACAATGATGAACGTGATGATGATGATGATGATGATGATGATGATGATGATGATGATGATGATGATGGTGGTGGTGGTGGTGGTGGTGGCGGTGCTGATCGTGGTGATGATGGTGCTATGGTTGATGATGCTGGGTATGCTGGTGATGCTGATGATGGTGATGTGGATAGATTGTGACGAATGATGATGATGATCATGATGATTCTGATGATGAGAATGATGATGCTGATGATGACGATGATGATGATGCGTGGTGATGGTGGTGACGATGATGATGATGATGATGATGATGATGATGATGATGATGATGATGATGATGATGATGATGAGGAATGGGCAAAGTGAGAGGGCGGGGGAGGCAGGAAGAGGAGGCAGCAGGATGATGCACGAGGAGCCCAGACTCGACGCGATCCACCTGCCAATGGTCGACAGGATGAGTACGTCGTGCTCATGGTGATGACGTTTCGCCCGTGACTGTTGGAAGTCTCTATCGCGAAAGAGTCGAGGGCGTCCGTCGTGGTTCCCCATTGCGGGCCGTATGAGACCACCACGACCGCCGCATGCCGGCGGTCGCGCGCCCCGAGCAAGCGCTGCCACTGCGCCTCGCGCGCCCTCTCGGCGGCGCCCTCCTCATCGCATGCCTTCATATTCTGCAAATTCTTCCTGGCCGCCCTGCAGGAGCCATCCGGCGCCTGCGTGCCGCCCCACGCTGCGTACACCTTGGTCGTGGACTTCCCCTCTTTGGTCTGCGCGGCCAGCGCGCGCGTCCTCTCCTCAACGTAGAGGGCGCTGCCCCGCGCGCGAGCGCCGTCCGAATGCGCCAACGTCGACTTGTCCGCGCGGCCATCCTGCAGCTTAGCCCGCTCCGCCTTGGTCATCGGTGGCGGCGCCGCCCGCCGCGTCTTCTCCGCGCGGGGCCATATGCTGGTTGCTGCGGGCCTCTTCGCCAGAAACGAGCTGGGGCGGTCCCCGCGACTCTTGAACCCGACGAACTCCTGCCGCCGAACCCGGCTGCTCTCCGCGTCCTGCTTGCGGACCAGTCTCGTCGCATTCGAAGTTGCCCAAAAACGGGCCCGGGTCAACGGCGCCCTGGCCATGCGCCAACACCACAAGGAAAGACTGGGGGGGCACCGCAGGGCTCCTTTCACCACCTCCTCCTCCTCCTTCGGAACCAACCGAGAAGGCCCAGGCTAGTCAAGCAGCCTATGTTGATCGCTTCTTCTCTGGTATGGCGGAGGATGGGGCGTGACCGCAAAACTCCACACGACGCGGCCTCCACCGCTGTGCGAATCAAGAGGTCGCCAAGGCCTGTGTCGATCGTTTCTGTTTGCCTCTGCTGACCTCCTGCGTCCTAGCATTCCACCAGCGAGGTTTGCCTCAGGGCGTCTTGCCTGAATCGCGCAGGGTGAGGCTGCGTCTAGTCGGCGCATCGGGCAGGCTCCTCGTGCCTTGGCCGCGGGCCAAATGCTATGCTGTACTCTGCCATGTTATGCCGCCCGATGTCATGGGGTGCCATGCCATGTTGACCATGCTTGGTTTTTCAAAACCATGCCTTGTCATGCTACGTGTAGGTGGGGCGAAGCCACGCAGAGATATCCAATGCAATGGTCTGATTTGCAATGCTATGCTGGGCCATGCTATGATACGCTATGATGTACGATGTGCCATTATATGCGATACGACCCGATGCTACATCGCGCTGCTGTGCAGTGACATGCTGGGCGTTGCGGTGCTCTGCGCTGCTATGTTTCACTACGCGTTATCTCGCACAGCACCTGGTTGTGCTGGTTCTTCTTGCGGCACAATGCGCATGTCTTCAACGAAGGGCCACTCTTTTTTGATTCGCGGGTCGAGAGCGCACCTCCTCCGGTCGAGGCTAAGCGGGCCGCGCGAAGCTTGAATTCGCCAGAGATGGGGGGGACAACGAAGAAACACTCAATGGTGCCTCGCCAGACTCGTACCTGCCCGTGTGGGGCGAGGGACCTCGCCGATCACACTCGTGCGGATTGGGGCGTCGTCGCCTCTGCGCTGCAGTGCCCCGGGGCCCGGGACGGGCCTCCCACCAGGAGGCCCCCAGAAGGACGTGCACCTCAACCCTCCGAGGTCCGCACGGATACCCCACGTCGGCGATGGACCCACTTTTTAGTCAGCGGCCGCGGGCGAGCGCGCCGGCGGCGAGTCAGGTCAAAGCGGGCTGCGCAGAGACGAATTAGGCAGAGGAAACGCGAGAAAATTAAAGCAGAGGCAACGCAAGGGCGATGGGCCCACACGCACAGACACGTTTTGGGCTTGGCTGCCCGGATACGCAACACGCGACCCGTAGCGTGGTGACACGGAGTTCAACACGCGGATCGAACACGCAGGCCTGGCGCGACACGCTCGCCAAAGCGTGGGGCCAGCGCGTGCTGAGCCAACGCGCGCCGTGTTCAGCACGGACGCCCTGAACACGTTACGCGGTGCGCTTCAGCACGGGCGTATCGGGTCGGGCGAAAGGGGGGGATAGCAAAGGGAAGCAGAGGAGGAGGAGGAGGAGGAGGAGGAGGAGGAGGAGCAGGAGGAGGAAGAGGAGGAGGAGAAGGAGGAAGAGGAGGAGAAGAAGGAAGAGGAGGAGGGGGGGCAAGCGGGGACGAGGAGGAGCAGAGCGACCCGTCGAAAGCGAGGCGCGGAGGCGAGCGGCAACGGCAGCCGGCCAGGATGGAGAGACGAGGTAGTTACTTCTTAGGACAGCTCGGTCGGGCAGGGAGTCTTCAGCACAGGCCAGTCCACAAGAAGCCCAACCCTGAGACCCCAGGACGTCCATCGATGCTTGGTGTGAGAACAAGCACACGTTTTCCAGAGCAGAGCCATCGAAACCCAGGAAGCCCAGGGGCACCCTGGAGGCAAGAAGGGTGCTTCTGGGCATGGGTTGCCAAAGCAGGGCAGAATCAGCAAGGGAGACAGGCAGCAGCCGAGCGAGGAGAGAAACGAGCAGCAGCGGCGCTGGGCGTAGTGCGGACCAAGCCCAAAGGGGGAGGGCTCAGCCCCAGGCTGCCTCGCAAGGAACGGCAGGGAGCATGGGCGGGGGACCGCTGGCTCGACAAGCGGTCGGTCAAAGCTGCATAGGGGCTGTGAGCCCCCCCACCACCACACGCACACACACACAATCACACACAGACACACACACACAGACAAACACACAGACACACACGCACACACACAGACAAACATACACACACACACACACACACGCACACACACACACATGAACACACACACACACACGCGCGCGCGCAAACACCGACACACACACAACACAAGCAAACACGCACACACATACGCACATACACAGCCACACATGCACACACACATGCACACACACACGCGCGCAAACACGCACACACAGACACACACAGACACACACACACATATACACACATGCATACATACACATACCAACATACACACACAAACACGCACCCACACACACATAGACACAGACACAGACACAGACACAGACGCAGGCACAGGCACAGGCACAGACAGACACAGAGACAGACACAGAGACAGAGACAGAGACAAAGACAGAGAGAGAGACACACACACACACACACACATACACACACGGTAAGCACGGAAATGGAGCGCGCCCGGGACGGTGCTGGGGGTGCCGCCCAAGGGGTGTCGGGGAACGATGGGCCGGGGCCGACTATACAACACCGTGCGGCGCTCCAGACACGTACGCTCGGTCCGCTCTGCCGTTCTGCGGTCCTCCTGGTGGCATCGGTGCGCAGAGGGCACCTGCAAGCCGCGGCCATGCGCCAAGGCATGGCGGTGATGTACCGTCGGATCCAGGGTAGAAGAACATCCTTCAAGAATGCGAGACCCTCCGCTGGTCAAAACACAGCACGTTCGAGAGCACCCGCTCCAGGATGCAGAAAGAACATCCAGCAGCACACCGAAACAAATAGGGTGCACCGTCCCCGAGCCGAGCGCTCGGAGTCTTCGGCCTCGGCGCGGCCGAGGCCCGCTCCTCCGACGTCGCGATCTGTTTGTGACGTGGGCCCCCGAGAATTACAGGCCTCGGGAAAAATTAGCGAACACTCATGCCACATTCATCTGTGAACGCCTCCCCCTTCCCCCAATGGTCAAAGTTGGCGGTGGGTCTGATGAGTTGCACCTCGACCGCAGTCTCCCCCCCCCCGCGTGCCAACTTTGAGTTTTGGGGGCAGAGGGGGGTGTTCACGAACTGTTTCCCTCCACCGTCTCAACCCAGTTCCTGGAGTCGGCTTCTCATCGTTTGGCACGCCCGAGACAGGTACGGTCAAATCGGTGATGCCCAACAGCAGATGCCATCGTGATCCGACAGCGGCCGCCGTTGGCCAAGCGGCGTTTTGTCAAACATTGGACAGCGCCTGCGGCGGCACCGACAGCGATTCCTGTTCAAAGTGATCAGGAGCTGCTGTCGGTCTTCATCGCCATTCTTTCCGCACCCCTTTCGATCCGACAGAGCCCTGAATTGTTTTCAGCGGCCAGGCGGCCAAGAAAGGGTCCGCGGAGGCCAGGCATGGCAAAACGCGGACCGCCCCTATTTGTTCTGGCGCCGCCCTAGCCTCAGGGAGCCTGAGATGACTACCTACACGACCACCCCAACCCAACTCGAAGACCCAAATTTCGGGTTTGGGGGGTACGGGCGTCCTATGTGTTTTTTCCATGCGCCCACCGCTGGAAATGGCGGGCAAATCAAGGCCTTCGGGTTGGGTTGGGGTGGTTTGGCGGGCGGTGATGAGACCCGACGTCGCGAAACATGCAGCATCGGGACAGGAGCCCCAGACCCTGTCCTTGTGCGTCATCCCCCGAGCTGGGTCGATACCCGTGCCGATCCCGGGGCCAGGCTCCGCGCGAACACGCCCGGTGAGAACACTGCCCGGCGCCGAGAACGAGGGGGGGCGAAGTGAGGAAGAGGAGGCCCTCCCAGAAGGCGGCGGGACTTCTCAGAAACCCTCGCGCCACCCGAGAAGGAAGTCTCCCGCTTCTCCCGGGGAGGCCCAGAAGACTTCTCAAAGGCCGGGGGGGGGGGGCACTGTCGGGCCTTCTGAGACGGCCCGCCCCCTCGGACTTCCCCTGCCCCCCGGGCGTGCCGCCCAGATGCAACGCCCACATCTATAAAGGGTGCCTCCTGCGGCCTCGGTCGGGGGGCCTCGGGCCCAAGCCCATCGCCCTCGCCATCGCTCGGACGCCCATTGCCGGTGCATGCTTCGGTTTCGCGCGCGTGTTTTCCTCAAGGTGTACCAACATGCTGCTCGATGGTCCTTGCCACAAAAAAAAACGAACACGTCCGAGCGATGCCAAGGGCCCGTGCGATCCCGTGCGGGGGCGTGGCTGTAAGTCGGGCGTGTCCCCCGAAACGCAGATGTTCGACAAAAGACTGAAGATATCCAAAAAAGAATCCAGCATGGTCAAGAAATACTAAGAAAAACTCGTCCACGTACTATTTTTCGACTCTTCTTGAACCTTCCCCCCTGCAGAGGGACAGGCCCGATTCAAGCGTGGCTGGGCGGCCGCGGCGCTCGCGCGGGGGGGCCCGCCCGCCTGGCGCCCGTACTCGCACGCGTAGGTCAGCGGGCTCCGCCCCGTGGCCTGGGCCGCCAGCTGCGGCGTCGGCGGTCAGGCGGGGGAGGGGAGGTTCCGCGGAGGCCTCGCCAGCGGGGTGCGAGCAGATGGTACGCGGGCCTTTCGGGGGGGAACGAAAGGGGGGGGGATAGCCGAGGGCAGGGTAGGGAATCAGCTCACGCAGCTGATCTTCCCAGCGCCTCCCGGCGCCGGGAGGCGCCCATGTATCGAGGCATGGGCCCGGCGGCGGGGCCGAAACCAGCTGCGCAGAGTTCGTACCCCCCCCTTTCCCTATCCCCCCCTTTCGTTCGGCCCGAGCCTTGCCGCAGCTCAGGGGGGAGGGAAGGAGGGGGAGGGCGGCGCGAACTCCGCATTCCGATCCGCCAGCCCGGGGCGCGGCACCAGTCGCGCACGCAGCTCCGCACACCTGTGACGGGAAAGTCCCGGCGGAACTGAACTGGGGCGACGGCGACACCTGAGCGACGATCAAAAACGGGTCTTGCGCGAGATGGCGTAGCGACCTTACGCGGCGGCACATTGCATTGGGAACGAGGGCGCTCACGCGCGAGCTTACGCGGGCAGTTTTTCGCGCCTACGTCGGCGAGGACGACCCCATCATCCTTCGTCACTCATCTCGCTTTCCCAGGCGCGGCCCCACATCCGTCCATCTGGCACAACCAAAAACCTGCGCCGCGGCCGGGCAAGGAGCACAACTTCCACGACAGGTCTGCACGGCGCTGCGAGGCGAGAGCGGCGACCCGCCCCTTCGCGCGGGACGTGCACGCAGCAAGGGACAGCGTCCACTCGGGGGGCCCTGCCCTGCTTGACGAAAAGGATGGACCCCCGCTCGTGGTGGCTTCCGGGGCGACGGGGCGGAGAGCAGAGCACCCCACAGCAGGCCAAAGCCCGAGCGCAGCGGAGGGCGCAGGAAGCAGGACACGGCACGGGCCGCGGCAGCCCCAGGGGATGCGTGCTTTCTTCGCGCCGCTGGCCCCCGCGCCGCCCGCCGCCCACGAGCGCGGCGTAGGCCCGAGACCCCTGTCGGCGCCGGCCGCGGCGGGGCCCGCCGCCCACGGCGGCAACGGCGCCTCGACGTCCAGGCCGAGCTGTGGGACCCGGTAGCGCCGGGCGTGCAGCCAGATGCCGCCGCGCACCAGCGGCCGCGGCTCCTGGCCCGCGAGCGCGCGCCCCGCCCACCCGCACGCGGCGCACCACGGCCGCGCACGGGCCGCGAAGGCGCGGGCGAGGGCGCCGGCCTCGTCGTCGCGGAAGGCCTCGAGGGGGCCGCCCTCCTCGAGGCCGGCGTCGCCCCCGTAGAGCGCATCGTTGGCGATCGGCGCGCCGAGGAGCGAGAGGTGCGCGCGGATCTGGTGCCGGCGGCCCTGGGAGGGCGTGCACTCCACGAGCTGGCTGCCGTCCGAGAAGGGCGGGCCCAGCGCCCGGACGCGCGTCTCGGCGGCCTTCCCGCCGTCCTCGGAGGCCACCGAGCGGTGGCCGTCCCAGGCCAAGGGCGCGGAGCAGACCTCCTGCGGCGAGGCAAGCGCGGGCCGCACGCGCGCCACGTAGGTCTTCTCCTTGTGCACGTCCTCGCTCAGGAAGGCCGCCTGCTGCGTGGTGGAGCGACCCAGCACCAGCACCCCCGAGACCGGCTGGTCGAGCCTGTGCCCCGGGTGGAGGCCTCGGAACCCCATGCTCGCCAAGACGCCTTGCACGCTGAGGCGGCTGCCCTTGCCACTCTGGCTCGGCAAGCCCGCGGGCTTGTCGACGACCAGGAACCGCTCGGTGCCAGCGAGCACCCGTGGCAACCCGGCGCGCACGCAGCGCTCGTGGACGCAGCAGAGGGCCCGCACGCGGGTCCCCGGCTGCACGGCCTCCTCGCTGTCCACTGCGCGCCACTGCCTCGAGAGCGCCAGCTCCCGCGGGCCGCCGCCGTCCATTTGCGTCTGGAAGCGGTCTTGGCACCAGTGCTCCTGCAGCTCTACTCGGTGGCCCTCGCATGCCGCACGCCACCAGCCCCTGTCCATCAGATGGCCCTGTGGGTCGCGCACGTGGGCAGCGAGCGCGTCCGCGAGCAGCTTCCCGGCAGCCGCCTTGGGCAGCAGGGTCTCCAGCCACTGCTCGTAGGGGGCGCAATAACGCAGGCCGTTCACGACGAGCACGTCCGACTCGCCCCCGCCGTCATCCTGGACCCCGGGCGTCGTGTAGGCACAGCTAGCGTCAATGCATCTTGCCGCCTCGCCGCAAAGGGCAGGCGCAGGAACCTCGCCCGACGATGCGTCCGCCACTCCGTTTCCGACTCCAGCAGTGTCGAAGGGCCCATCTCCGCCAGTGCCGGCTCCTGTTAGCAGCCGCCTGTAACGCGCGAGCACGCCATCTGGAGTGAGCGCCGACAAGATGCCATCGCTGACCTCTGCCGCCACAGCAAGCTCACCCGAGGCGACAACCACGGGCCCGTGCTCCACGGCGAGGCCAAGCCCTCTCAGCTCGAGCGAGCGCCGCTGGAGCAGCTTCAGGAAGTCCGGCGGCGCCAGCGGCAGTCGCCGGCGCGATGCGCGGCTGGCCAGCGCGGCCGCACCCTCATTGGTGACCTGCCACGGGGGGCCTCGGAACAGCGGCACGCCCGCCGCCACGCCAAGGGCCCCGCTCACCCTGCAGGTGCCCGAGCGGAGGACCACGAGCGGCCCCACCCGCTCCAGCAGCAGCTCGGCACCGAGGCCGAACAACTCCCGCACGCCCTCCACGTCGGCCGCGTGCGCGAGCCCAGGCCCCTCCTCGACGAGCTGGGCGGCCTCGACGTCCTCGAGGCCCTCCTGGGCGCCCGAGGAGGAGGAGGAGGAGGAGGAGGAGGAGGAGGAGGAGGAGGAGGAGGAGGAGGAGGGGAGGAGGAAGGAGGGAGGATGAGGAGTAGTGGAGGAGGAGGAGGAGGAGGGGGAAGGAGGGAGGGAGGAGTGGGAGGAGGAGGGGCAAGGAGGAGGAGGTCAGAGGAGTAGGTTAGGAAGAAGAAAAGAGAAGGATGAGCAGGCTGGAGAGAAAGACATCGACATACTGTTAGAGGAAGAGGAGAGGAGGAGGGATGGGAGGTGAGGATGGGAGGTCGGGGAGGAGGAGGAGGAGGAGGAGGAGGAGTAGGAGGGGGATGGGGAGGAGGAGGAGGAGGAGGAGGGGGGAGGAGGAGGGAGCTTGGGTAGGTGAAGGTGAGGAGGAGAGCGGAAGGAGAGGATCAGGAGAGGAGCCTCCTCGCCCACTCTCTAGTCGTTCGTCCGATCACGGCCAGGCGGAACGCCGCGCCATCAGGGTGGTGAGCGTGGAGGGGTCGGCATGACGCGGACACGCAAGCCTCCATGACCCTCATCCACGTGATGGGCACAATTTTTCCCACCACCACCACCACCACGGTAGGAGCAAAGTTGTTAGAGAAGGAGGAGAGGAAGGAGGAAGAAGGAGGAGGAGGAGGAGGAGGAGGAGGAGGAGGAGGAGGAGGAGGAGGAGGAGGAGGAGCAGGGGGAGGAGGAGGAGGACGAGGAGGATGAGGGGGAGGACCTCGTCATCCTCCGTTCCCCCCCATCCTACATAATTGCGGCAGTTTGGTGGTGGAAGACTTGCCCATCGTCTCCGATGCCGCCGAAGAACCTGCCGGCGAGCGCCGGCACGGGCACCAGGCGGAAGCCCCCCTCGCGCAGCAGCTGCCGCACCACGTGCTCGCCCTCCTCGGGGCGCAGGGACTGCGAGGTGTACACGACCCTGCCGCCCCTGCGCACGTGGCGGGCCGCCGCCCGCAGCGCGCGCGCCTGCGCCTCGAAGAACTCGGGGGCCCGCACCTGGCCGCCCAGACAATTTTTTCAATTTTTTCATGTTATACGATTAGCATTAAGACTTCGTATTATTATTGCCATTACCTTATTATGACCATTATTAAGTATTACTATTATCACATGTTTCTATCATAATAGTACAATTAGGATCATCAGTAGCATTATCAATAGTTACAACAATAACACGCTTCTCGATGTGTGTGCGTCATTCTGGCGCAGGGGCCATGCTAACCTTCTCTGCATCGTTCCAACGCTAGGTGATGACCCCCGAAGGAGGTCCACCGCACCTGGCCCAGCGTCCCCGCCTTCTTCGGCTGACGCATCGAGCCGTCCTCGGAGCTCTGGATCGGTGGTTCGAAGATGGGGCCCCGAGGGATGGGGTCCTAAGGCCAGGGAGGGGTCCGAGGGTGGATTGACCTTGTTCGAGGCACCTCGTCCTTAGGACCCCATCCC